CCCCCCCCCCCCACAATATCGTCCTCCCTGGGGTTAAATTCCTAGGAAATTTGCCCACCCCTTTAGAAACTTCACCTTTCCTTTAGGATTTTCTTCCTCCGTTAAGTTAAAAATTTCGCCCTTCCTAAAAGGTTGCATGGGATAATTATTACATGGCTTTAGTCATTTGAAATCAGTAATTCAAAATTGTTAAGACATTAGAGCTTGAAATAACAGCCGATTACCGATCAATGATCGGCAAGAAATTGCTTTATGATTGGCGGAAAAGCAGGGTTTCGGTTTCCAACCTGAAAAAAAGCAGGGAAAGTCATGACTGCCGATCACCATGATCGGGAACTTTGTGAACGTTATTTCAAGCCTTTAGTCTAGGACCTGTATATGAGTTTGTATGCATTTCCGATTTAGGACAGATAATCTCAACTGTTTTAGGGCAAGTTGACCATGACGGTCAACATGGTAACGCTGCCCGAACCCCAATCCAGGGCGAAATGTCCGAAACTGACCACACCCAAAAACGACGCTTTCGCCATACTGCTATCTACCAAATCATAAAAGCTTTGGCTATTCTGAGGTGCTTATATGGTTCAGAGATGGTACTTTTTGGGGTGGTCATTGGTAAGTGTGAAATGCCTAGCACTAATATTTCACAAGAAAATGACCATACAATAATCATAGTTAAACGTCAATTTGTGGCTTGCAACTTCAGATAAACAGCAGTGGACTTACATTACCTTTTTCCCTAAATCTTTTTGATAGAAACATAATTGGTACTTATTGAAATATATTATCACTGGTTTGGTGTAAAATAGTTAATATTTTCTGACCGAAATAATAATTTGAAATGTGCCTACCTCGTGCAAATGGACGTATTTGGCCAAGTTCTCCACTTTACTCCGCTGTTTATCGGCGATCTCGTCGACATCCTACAAAAAATGTAAGTCATCTCAGACATAATGGTATCAAGAACATTTTGAACAAGTTTCAACTCAGCTTGGTTTCAAGTAGATCATACAAGGTAAATCCACAATTTTGTCCAAATTCGGCGCCATTTTGTCATCTCATGTCGGTTGTCAACAATTCGGCCTTGTTACTGTTGCATCCAAGCCATTTCCATTCCACTAATAATAAATTTAACCCTTTATAACGGTAGAAAACTAAAAAATCTAAACAAAATATAAGAAATGCGCCATTTTATTACCCTGTAAAATTTTACTCACGAGTCTTTCAAAACATTCCGTACAAATCTCGCGTGACAAAGTAACAGGGACGCGACAGGGGGGGGGGGGTGAATTATTTCACGAAGATAGAAGAAGGCTGGCAGGGTGCGTGAAATAGACTAATTGTAAAAGCTAAATACAATCAAACAAACGTTTGTTTTATTTCTTGTAGCGAAAAATATATACATATTATTATTTATTAATATGAAAAAGTCGTACAAATTAAATGTTGATTGTTGGTTTTACCATACCGTGTGGGCTTTGCTTTCATTTTTCAAGTCTGTACCCCCCCCCCCCCCCCCCCCCCCCCCC